CATTAGGAGAAAGACAGGAAAGGTTGAAGGTAGGATCGAAGAGAAAATTGAAAAGTTCAGTGAACTAATGATACAGAGAAATCGAGAAGATGCACGAACGCCACTGTTTACGACACCCAGCCATGTCACTCAGTGTCTCTAACCATCGGTGACCATCATCCCGAGGTCCCCAGCCAGAGAGCCTAACGGGGCCTATGCGACCTAGTCTCCTGGTTAGGGTTTTCGTACCCTCATGCTAGGTCTTAGTTTGACCACCCTTTATCTTTTTCCAATCGCTACCAGCCTTGGCAAATATCGTTCGCCGCGGCCACCTATCTGGTGACATACGTAACACATGTCCCAACCAGCGTAATCTATGGTCGATCACTTGCTCTAGTGGACGATCGCGAATGCCTAAAACTCTACGCCTAACCTCAGCATTGCTAGTCCGGTTACCCCACCACACTCGTGCAATACAATGTAGACAGCGGTGTTCGAACACCGTCAATCTATTTTTATCCTGTTCCCTTAGTGGCCAAGTCATAGTTAACTAAATTAAGGTATCTCATTAGTGCTGCTGTCTGTGCACACCCAAGTCAGAACAGGAACTTGGAATAAACGGTTAACCTCTCGAATAAAATGTTATACTGTTGAGGAAACCAACTGGATCGGAAAGCTTTTAGCCCCTAGTTGGTAATTAACTGTACGGTAAATCTTATTACACTATGATAGATACGTGCGTTTGAGCACGAGTTTGGTTCCCAAACCGCTGAAAATGAATCCACCAGACCTAGGTATGCGGTCAGTGGTTCATTTTCCTGATTGTCTCCCAACAACAATCGACTGTGCGAACGCATTCACTTTATGTTCCTTCTACAACATCTTGAGCTGACTGCAGTACGTATTCCATAGAAAAATTGCACAGACGAAAGTAGTGCCTCGAACAATCACGTTAAGGTCACGACTAAGCTGCACTTTGACGTGATGTGGTAGCTTGCATGCCTCCACAATGCTGCGAATGTCCGGCCTTTTCCACCGGGTTGACTGACTATTGGTAGTGATTTTAAGGAAATAGACTAAACCCTGATTACAAACCACCCACACTTGGCTTAAGAAGCTCATAATGCACCATTCCTCGGCGCAAGCTAACCGGTTTCCAAAGTTTACCTTTAGATTCGACCACCGTGACGCTCATTAGCAAGTGCGTGGCTCAAGGGCAATCTGGGTACCCTGAAAAGTCGACCACATCTGAAAGGTTTATGAACTGGTCGATCAATCAAAGTACTCCCTACCCCATCTCGCTGCCTTGTGGGTCAAATTCTTTAATCAGAGGCTCCGGGGTAGGGGCCCCCAATAAACCCATCTACCTCGACCTGGACAACCTGGTAGTACCACGCCCGCAATTTAACCATGGAATTACAGACTGATGCATTCTGAAACTGTCATACAAAACGTTTCTTCAAAATTTGCACGCAACTGTTCCACCCGTCCCACCCCAAACCATACCCTGTATGTCCTATCTCTAATGATTCCACTCACGTAGGTTCATGCTGTAGCTCGCCGCTATCCTCTTTGACATCTATCTCAGCAATGATTTACCACTCGGCGCCGACGATTTCATTCCTTTAAACTCACTCTGCGTTCAAAATGGATTCGTTCAACGTACACTCGAAAGTCTAGAGATTGCCTCTCGGAAACACCCATTCAGGATCCAAGCTCAGAGATCTGATTAACATCTTCCAATCCAAAAAAGCGTTTCAGCTGCCCTTTTCCGGGAACCCTATCGCATTAGCGTCTAGTGAAGCAGGCGTTAGTATTGCCTTAAGCGCCAGAGCTGAGACTGGTCTATTAGACTGGATCCCGATAGATAACGGATTATGCGCAGTGAGACCCCGAGGCTCAAGTAAAGTCAAAAAGCGGAAACCAAAAAACGGTGCCTATTCGTGGTTTCTGCATACGCTCCTACAGGCTGTAGCTCGGATACAGTCAAAGATGCCTTCTTTCACAACCTACAAGAGCCTCTTCCCAAAGCATTCTCAAAGACGGATATCGTGTTTCTGGCCAGATGAAACCCATCTTGGTGGCTATAATGGTCTTGACAGCTGTCGTTCAAATAATGGAGATAGACTTCTTAGCATATGCTGAGTACACTCTCTGTGCTTCGTTAGAACAAAGTTCAGACACTCAAAGCGTCACCTCGCCATTTAGTGTAACCCACAGATGTGGAATCATATTGATCACTTAGCTATGAGCTATAGATGGAGAGGGTGTATGAAGGACTGCCGTTCGTATTGGTTTACATACCTGGACCCTGACTATGCACTGGTTTGTGCCAAGGTTTCTATTCGATTCTTCAGCTACTGGAGCACCTCAAACAGACGACAAACTGTTATAGTGTTTTTAGACATCAGAGCGGCTTTCAATTTCATCGATCACCCCGCACCCTGAACCTGTTTAGGGAGATACGTAGTACCCGAGTGGTATGTTCTACTCTTAAAGGCACTATCATCAGACTTCGAGGAAGGTTAGGGTCTATGGTGAACTTTCACCCTCATTTCCTGTCACCAGTGGGGTACGACAGGATTGCCCTATCTCTCCTTTTCTCTTGAACTTTGCTGTAGATGTTCTACAAAACGCGTTACATAATGTAACGAACGCTGGCGTCGAGCTTCTGGAGACAGGGTCGTAGACTTAAAGTATACCGATGATATTACCTTACTTGATGACAACGTACCGTCGATTCAAGAGTCGTTGAATCGGTTGGCAATTGTGGTTACTCTTTATGGTATGTCCGTCGCAACTTTTAATTGCAAAGTGTTGTGGCGAAATTGGTAGATACGCGTTCCTGCACCTTCGTTGAGTAATCACACTCTGGAAGTAGTCGGAGCTTTGTCTACCTCGGGAATTGCGTAACGGCTGGCGGAATTGTGGACAACGCGTAATCAAAGCTAGGTTAGCGTTTGCTAATCTGCGGCATCTCTGGCGCCGGCGCGACATATCCTTTTCACTTAAGGGGCGTGTGTATTGCGCAACGGTACGCACCGTGTTGCTCTATGGCTGCAATATCTGGCCTCTCCGAGCAGATCATGTCCAACGACTATCTGTCTTCTACAACCGTTGTCTGCACAACATCGCCCACGCACGTTGGGAGCATCGCGTGAGTAACGATGAGGTCAGACTGTGTTGGGATCGGATAGTCTCCCACTAATCAAAACCATTTCATTGCATCTTAGGTGACGTCCTACTAACGCCTGAGCAACATCTGTCATATCGTGAGCTATTTGCAGATATTGGCCCGGCTGGAAGAAACATCGATTTGGACAGGCTATGACATGGCATATAGCGTTAAAGAGGTTTTGCTCGGATTTGGCTTCCATTGGAACTTCCCGGCGATCCGACTAGTCTCCAAAAATTCAGACTGTCATGGCCTGGAGACAGCAGGTTATAGCATCGACCGAAGTCAGTGGCGTAAATGCGAACTTTTCTGCGCCCAATCGCAAAAAATGCTTAAGTAAACAAACAAAAAATTTCTTATTTCTGCTTTTGTTTTCCTTTTCTGTTTCTAGATGTTCGATGTTTTGTAATTGGGTTAGATGCTACTAACCGCAACAAATGTGACCTGATGGTCTTGGTAGGATATTTGATAATAAATAGTATGTATCTGTCCAATGGTTACCCGGTGTCGCAAACAAGGTTATTGTGACAAAAAAATATATGTTTATATATTTCATCGTCGATCTGAAAGTGGCCTTCGGTTCAGTCGAGGACACTCTGGCACTGCTTCGTTGAAGGGTGTGCCAGAGATGTTTATAACTCTCGACATTGTTTCAATATGCATCGGGGGACCGTCGAGAGATAGTGAGCAGGATTTACCTCAACAGATGTTTTAATAAGCGTTTTGTGTTACAGCTTTTCTTGCTATATGGTTGAGGCTCCACTAACGCTTGAGAAGCATAGTTTCTTTTACCCAAAGTTTGTAGTTTGGCCCCAGACCAGCAGCCGAGATTTCTTTGTATTTCCTTCATGTTATATACTGGCTACCTTTAATTTTTTCCAACGCCTTACTTTTGGCAAGCGTTGCTCCTCGAGAAAGCATATCCGCAAGCATGCGCATCACATTTATTCAATCAGTGGGCTTGCCTCTAGTATCTGAGCTGTTTGCCCTCTGTTTTACCACAATTAATTAGTCATTTCATCACGCATACATGGTGCTGAAAGATTAGTGGAACTCAAGCACCATTGGTTTGCGCATCATCTTTTCGTAACGGCTACGCCTCTGAACAATGCACAGCCAAAGTGATGGCGTTTCTTTGACATTAAGTTGGCGCTTAGCAAAAGAATGTGTACCGCATCAACGCCACTCTAAGCCGGTACCCGTCACGCTTTTTGCATGCGTGACGCGCCCTGACCATAGATCCTTTTATCAAGGGTAAAGTAACTGCATTGATTCGTGTGTCACGTTGTTTCATTCCCAAGCATAGCTTGTTGCTGGCGTCTGAATTTCTGATTCATTGCTTCTCTTCAGAGCGCAACCGCTTTCTAACGCGACACGCTCTATCTCAGTTTCACACCGCTTTGACAGCCAGTCTGTTGAAAAAGCTTTTCATTCGACTGATTCGCTATTCGAATGGAAGTTAGGGCACTTGAAATGACGTGCACACAAAACTCCAAACCAATTTCCTCTGTCCAGTTGTTTTTGTTTGTTTTGAGTGTCCATTTTTCTCGTTCTCACTTGCGTATCATTTCGTGTATCCCAGTGCTCTCCTATTTGTTCTCTTATTTCTCTCACGCTCGTTTTTACCCCTTTATAATATGTTTTTTTAAATCTATCTCTACGTGTCTACTACTCGTTTCCCGGATCAGGTTTGTATCTTGTACCTGAAGATGCAGAAAATTCCTCTGAATCCTCTACTGCCACCACCACAACTGCTACTGCTCCACCAGTGACCACTCGAACTGCTGCACCTGCCAAACGCCCAACTAACGTCACGCAAGTAAGTGTCCCACTTATTTTTACCGCACGCAGTTTGTAGGTGATATGCGGATTGAATTTGCGCTCTCAGCATCCATCCCAGTTTTATCTAGCTTTTCGATTTCAATTTCGGGTGTAGTCACATCGCTGCTGTTCATTTTTCTAGTTCGTCTGTCTCGTTTTTGTTCAGGAGATAAGCAGCCGGAGTTCACGCGTTCCAAACGGGTGCACAAGAAGCAAATGATACTATTCGAATTTTTGTCTTGTTTGCGCGAGCTGGACATTTTCCCTGTCTTTCGGAGACAGTGTTTCCGAAATGGTGCCAAATTATTCACGCCAGTGGCACGCTCATTAAATATGGTGCTAACTATTCTTTTCGTCAAATGACCTTACTTGTGGCGTACTTGTTATCGAATCAGTACGCATTTATTGTATGGTTTCATCAACATTATCAGCATCGTCATTACTATCATACTCGTGTTGCATCCCACGCGAGAAGCTCATACCGCTTAAACGAGATCGACGCTAGATGGTGTTTCTTTTAATTGTCAACGAATGTGTAGAATTGCCAAACGCGGCTGCTCATTGGGTTTTTGAAGATGACCAGGTTAGTACCGCTCTCTGCATCCGGTGTTCTTAAATCCGTCACTTGGCGTTTCTGTAATATCTTCGCCAACTTCCTCGTCATCATCATCCGACTTTTCTGACAGTAACTCATATCTTCCTTGCTCGACAGATGATATTAACACCTCTTTAAAGTATCCAAGCTATCCGAACATCCGTCTTTGTCTATTCTCATTGCCCATTTCACTCGGTCTTCGGGTATTCTCTCGGTTTCATTTTGATTTCGGTTCGCACGAACAATCACGATACTATTCTAGTAAGTTCGCAATAGCGGTGCTTCGTATGTCAGCAATTCTCCCGGGTTTATCACGTGTGACTTGTGGTAAGCTAACTTGATGTGATCGTATTCCCTTTCGTTGCACCGTTTCATACTACCGATTCACCGTGTCACACCACCATTCTTTCGATCACACACTCACTTTCAAACACATGGTTCTGTTCCTCGGGTTCGATTGAACGTCAGGCTTACTTGAGAATGGTTTCGCGCTCCAAACCCGGGCGGGCTTATTCGTTGCCCACGTCGACTTCACTGCCCGGTTCACCATTTACACAACGTCCCCCCACCAGTCCACTCGTATCAGGCAAACCGCCCGCACCACCGCCGCCTACCATGGCTTCGGTTCATCATTCGCCACCGCAGTTCTCGTCGCCATCACTTACAAGCGATCAATAAGTCTGCCTTGCGTAACGTTCAGGTGAAACACAAATCGTCTTGGTCACTCGTTAATCTGTTTGTCTGTCTGCCTGCTCGCTTACTTGCCTGCCTGCTTGTTTGCCTGTTTGCCTACACACACGAGGAATTCCGACCGGTGCATCGGTGACCCCTTTCCCAGTCGCGCATGTGTTATTCGTGCGCACTCAGAAGACATCGCATTCAGACCTGTGTGCACACACTCGACCGACTGAATGACGCTTGAACTTGTGTAACTGCATTACCCATTGGTTCTTCTCTCTCTCTCTCTCTCTCTCTCTCTCTCTCTGTGTGTGTGTGTGTGTGTGTGTGTGTGTGTGTGTGTGTGTGTGTGTGTGTGAAATAGAGAGAATGCGGTCGTACTGGTCGCGTCATCGATCTGGTGTATTATTCGACTTCACCTCATCATAACACAGGCCCAGAACGTTCTGTTCCCATCTTTGGATGATCAAACTGATTTGCCGATCGGTGCATGCGTCACGTGTCCCTTTCTGTCCCTCATACCTCATATCTCAAGGAGAAACATATGCTGTGTCCATCGATTTTCCAGGCAATTATTTGCATCAACCAATTATTGAGGTTTACGGGCTTCCTGTATCTCTTGAACTCTATTCACATTGCTCATGCATTTAGCCACTGTCTTCTCAGGTGAAACCAGACTGTCAGTGACATTTCAAATATAGTAAGACGGTCGTCGCTGGGATGCATGTGAAATAATATGACAGTGTGACAGTTCAATAGCCTGATAGCTATTACCATCCATCAGCCATGTCAGCACGACTGATCATTACATTTGTCATGGTAATTGAACAAATCATTCATCAGAAATGTTTCCAGATGCTCGGATCCCTACTGAGTGCTTTTTTGTCAATTTAAGATGTAATGTGTCTGTATGTTGTTTTCATTGCTTAGTGCCTCCTTATTTTGAAGTCGTGCGCACCCCACACAGTGCACATTCATTAGGAGGACCGACTCGCTTTTTAATTGCACAATATCACCCACTCAGTCGAAAAATTCGTGCATGTTCTTGTTTAAATTCGTCTTTTGTAATCTGCTTCGAAATGAACTTTCGAAAGCAGCACATTTCGTGACATCATTTGCGCACCTCAAGTCTTTCTACTTTTTCACCGCTGACCCAATAATTGTTTTCCAATCTATCCTACTTCACCTCTAGTCGTTCAGTCGGTTATCTGATCGTTGAGCACGGAAGACAAGCATCACAAACTGTGTGGTAGAAATAAGATTTCTGCCTCCGTACCCGAGGTAAAGTGCCTCCGTCAACCAAATACGTGTTCGATTCTCTGCTGACAACGAATCGGAACCGGTTTTTATTCGTTTAACCTCGAAGCATGTGCATGCACGCGCGCGCCTATTCGGTTTAGAGAGCTCACTCATCATTAATCTTTACCGTGTTCCCAGCTAACCGAATTGCTCCTCAACCGTTGAAATATTTGCTTCATATGTGTATTCTGTGACAATCATGTTTTCTTTACCATCTTGGTTTTTCCTAGACATCACAATCCACAGCTCGGCGCGTTGCCACTCGTCGAAGCGCTCAGGCCACTGCGACTCAAAGCTCATGAACACCTCTGCTTTGTCCTCAGTCTGCCGTGGCACCGTGGTCTCGTCCACCTCAACATTTACACATCTGTCTACCGAACCAGTTCATGAACTGATCATATGATCGAGACTGGTCCTATTCAGTGAAGAGCACTCAGCTGCTGTTACCACTGGAGTTCATCCATCCAGATCACATCCTGCCCGGTACCATGAACTGTCTGTCGGCTACCGGCCAATGTGCGTTTTCACCAGCTCATCAACTTTGTTTATGCACAAACCTCATTGTCATTGTAATCCTACTGAAGTATCCACACACCTCAAATAGAGATGCCCATCAGCTGACTAACCACCAACAAACAGAATTCCATTGTCTTTCGTTTTCCCGCGAATGCTGTTACCACTGGCAAAATGCAAGCTTGCTCTGCACTCATGCAGTTTCTCCTGCTTTCCCGATTCGATCTCTTCGTGTGTGTTCGTTTGTATGCATGTGCGTTCTTTTGCATACAACTGATCGCGCATTCGGTTTCACGCATTTCTCTTTTCGTTCGCCTCCCTTTCTCGTGCCTCAAATCATTTCTCTGTACATCCCTCTCTGTATCTCTGCCTG